AAAATCAAAAACAGGTTACTTTTTTTTGTGATAATATAATGCTTTTAAAGATTGGTAAATTTTCTTTTTATTTGAAAGGTTAAAAAAACACAATGATTAAAAAAAACAAAGATAATGATCAAATAACAAAAACTAATTTTCTCTATTTACTTTGTTTTGCCAAAAAACAACATATGACATACCAAGGCTCTGTTTGTTATCTTCTTTGAACTGATTGCAAAAGTTAAGCTAGAGACAAATTCAAAACTTAGAGAAGAGCACCTCGAAGTTTTTACAAATTTTAATTGTTTCTTTGTGTATATTAGTGTCTCTGAACCCAAGTTTGACTACAGGGTTTAGAATGGAGTTCAAAGTTCAAGGATACTTTTCTCCTAATTTGATATATAAAACTATTGTGAAATATGTATTATATGTAGTAACTGTTATTATGTATCTAATTATGTTTAATAATGTTAGTATTAACCATCTATTCCACTTACACACACACACACACACACAAGCAGATGTATTTATACTGTATTGTACATTTAAACTTGGGTAAACTTTGTTTTTAGCAAAGAGTAGATTTTATAAATTTAGGAAATATATATTAGATATTATTTTACCTTTAACATTTTGTTAATATGATTATCAACAAAACTTTTCCCGTGATATGCTTGTCTTTGTACTCCTAATGAGTTAAGTACCTTATCAGGTTTTTTTACAAGTGGCTCAAATGATTTTTTTAGTCTGCTTCAAGCAGTATTTTTAATTCTGAGATCTATGATTAAATATGTTCTTGAGATAAATTCAAAAAAATGTAATCAATAAAACAAAACTTAGATATTCTAAAGTATAAGATTCTCAACTTTATAATTCCGGGTTTAATTACTAATCTAAATTAAATAATTTTAGTGAATAATAAAATTTAAAGTAGTTACCTGTTTTTTCTTTTTCTTTCCAAAGTGAATCAGGTGAGGTTCAAATACTAATTTAAATTTTTCTTCATTTTCAGGGTTAAAAAGTATTTGCATTTCTTATCATCAAGTTCTTGAATACTTATTTAAAGTTGATTTATTTGACGCTGGTGCTCTATATGCATTAAGTTCCTCAAAGCCAAGCCTTTGGTTGTTTACTGCCATTTGACCTGCAATTTATATGTTAATTGTATAACAAGAGTTTTTTAATGTTGAAAAACTTTAAGTATATACCAAGTGAGATATGTAAAGCAGGACTCCTATCTAATAGTACAAGAAAGTTTATATTATTTACAATTCCATACACCACCATTTACATTTACACCACCAAAAATTTGTATTATATTGAATAAACAATTATTCATGTGAATTTGCGATTAATAGAGCAGCATCTTCAATATTTCTTGGTATAATACTTGTTGAATCCAATGCAAATATATCTGAAAGGTTTATTTGTGAAGTTGATGACGATGATGTTAATAATGACAATGTTGTTGAACTTGATATCGGAGTTGTCTGACAAGTTTTTTGATGTTTCTTTCGTTCTGACAGTTATGTGACTTTAAAAAATCTACCACAACCTTGCTTGCATACTTCTTGAAAATTTTCTATTATTTCAATGACATTCATTGATGAAATTAACTCATTACTTGGAATTGAAAAGGAACATTTAGGACATTTTGTTTTTAATATTAGTTTGCCAATGATAAGAGGTTACAGACATGATGCGCAGAATGAATGAAGATAGTTTTTTATAATAATTGTTTTATGCATAATGTCGTTGCAAATAGTACACACACAAAGATGCACATAAGGGTTTAGGATGCAGTTAATATCTTGCAATTTAAGATTAAATTTTTAAACATTCCGATAGATTGCAATTTTCAGGCCATGATCTTAATTTTAGTTCAGTGTTTGAACCTTTTTCAATATTTCTTAATATTGAAAATGCATCTATAACACATTTTTTGAGGATGCATATTTAGGTAATCCTTATCGATTCGGAAAAAAAAAATCAATTTTAACAATATGTTTTATTAAAAGAATACAATCATTATCTAGACTTTCTCCACATATTCTGCATTATGTTTTTAGTTTTGTTTCATGAGACTCAGTCATTTTTACGTGTTTTTTTATTGCTAAAATATATGATTTGATATACAAAATTTTTAAACTTAAAAAAGTAACCGGATTCTGATTTTTTTATTACTGTAAAGTTAAACCTTCTTTTTTAAAATACATATAGCTTTAAGGCATAAAAGTTCTAATAAACGCCTAATTATTATGTTTTAGTAGTAACGATGACCATAAAATAATTTCCTACTTTCCCGGGTTTTATATCATATAAAAATTAATAAATTTAAGTATTTCAAATAAAATATGCTTACCTTGGCCACATATTTTATCAGTTTATGAATTGATATCTTGCATATACATCTTCAATTATTATGTTTTAGTAGTAACGATGACCATAAAATAATTTCTTACTTTCCCGGGTTTTTTATCATATATAAATAAATAAATTTAAGTATTTCAAATAAAGTATGTTTTCCTTGGCCACATATTTTATCAGTTTATGAATTTATATCTTTTATATACATCTTCAAAGCAATGATATGACCTATCTACTTACCTAATATCTATATATACGCTTACACATACTTTTGTTGTTAATTTTTGTGTAATGTTACAAACGCGCTGTGAGGCATTTACAGTTTTTAAGAAACGTTTTTTAAACGTTTTTCAAAGGTCCCGCAAAATTAAACATCGAATAATAAAAAAAATTCTATCAAAACTATATCAAACGTTTGCAATATGTTCCTGTGTCTATTGGGATTATTTAATAGTTTATCTAATAATTACATAAAAAGAATATGAAAATTGTTGTTAAATTAACACCACTAGTCGTAGTCGTGCCCAAGTTTCAGTTCCATTTATTTAGAAACAATTTTTACTTTGTATAAATCTTGATCTCAGAGCCTAAGATCCATTTTCTACCGCACTGATAATAGTAAAATTTGAATATAATTAATAGGAAGTTAAGATTCTTTTGAACGACAATTTTCAATTATTAGGTAGCTTTTTATTTTAAGCACCATTGATTCACAATTCCAAATATGATTTTCAAATTTATAAAACATTTACAATACAAACGTGAATTATACTCTCTTTCTGAGGTATCTTGAGTAAATAATAGCAACCTATTTTGTTATTTAAATTTAGACTCATGAAGAATTTATAAAGATTTATGGTGGATGTTTCAAACTTCCAAAAAGTTTTATAAATATTACAAAAGGATCTACATTTTTACCACCTAGTAATGTCAACATACCCGACGAGGTTGATTGGAGAACTAAAGGTTACGTTAACCCGGTCAAGAATCAAGGGCAATGTGGATCATGTTGGGCATTTAGCACAGTAACTAAATTTTTTGTATTATTTAAACTCTTTTATTACAATTACTTACAAATAATGTATCACAATCAAAATGGTAGAAAATGATACAATACAGTTTAATGTAATACTAATTAATTGTTAATTAATTAATTTCATACTTTTTAAGTTTTCATACTTTTTAAGTTTTCATACTTTTTAAGTTTTCATACTTTTTAAGTTTTCATACTTTTTAAGTTTTCATACTTTTTAAGTTTTCATACTTTTTAAGTTTTCATACTTTTTAAAGCATATTATCTGTGAGAATTTTAATAAAATTTTTATAAAGGTGATAATAACTTGAACTATAGAATGTCTTTTTCTCTCTCTCTATATATATTTTTAAATATATCAAAAAATATGTTTTAAACAGTATTTCAACAAAAAGTCTATAAAAAGTTTTGTAAATTTTAAGTTTTAAAAGAATGTGTAAACATGTTTTTTGCGGATATTTGTTTTTTCATAGATACTTACAAATTTATTACATAAAGTTAGAATTAACAATTAATTTCTGAAAAACAAAAAAAAATTTTAAATTATAAAAATATTAATACCGTAAAATCGCCTAAGTTTGGTCACTTAAGCTTTGAACATTTATTTATCACGCATAAACTAAAAACTTTCAATTTTTCTTTTCCTGACACAAACAAAAAATTATTTTGATAATTGGTATTGTAAAAATAAAAAATAAAAACTAGTACTCAATATTTAATTTAAAATGAAAACATCTACTTTGATGAAAACATCTACTTTGACCCAACTTTCTATACCATCTTATAAGTTCGGCCGCAATATAAATGCTAATAACGTATTACAAACTTAACTTCAAAAATAATGAAAACTAATTCTTAAATGTTGTTTTATAGTAAAATTATGTTTTTTTTATTCAGTAACTAAGAAACTAGGCTCAAAAAAAAAAGTCTTTTGGGGCAAATATAAAAAGAAGGAGCACATAAAAAAAGCCTTTTTAATATAGTAGTACGCCACTGACTAATAAAGTTAAAAATATATTTTTCAATTAATTTAAAAAGGTTTTTTCAATTAATAAAAAAACACTACTTTGCTTTTAATGAACTTTGTATGTTTATTGGCAATTCTAGCACATATCGCTCTATCACGTTGGCCATAGAAGAACAGCAAGATTCACACAACCAATTTTTCAGAGGATTCGCTACACATCTCATATCGTTGAGCTGTAATTTTATCTTTAAAAAAATGTCACAAGCTTGATATTTTTTAGAACTGAAAGAAACATCAGTTAGTTTTGAAATTATTCCAAATTTCTTATTCAAAGAAAATTGTGTGTATCCATTTTAAAAATATTAAAATTTACTGGTAAATTTATCGGTAAAGACACCGGTAAATTTTACATTGGCAACATTTATCAAAATTTCACATTATTACTGCTAATTGTTTCCTTCGTTGCTTATACGTAAATGATCGATGTTAGAGTAATTCAAAATTTCACAAACATTTATAAAATAAAATAATTTTCAAAAATTAATAAAATGTTTTTTGTTAATTTTTATTTATTTTATATATTATATATTTTATAACAGTTAGTTTTCAAAAATAAATAAAATGTTTTTTGTAAATATATTTAATTTAGTAATTCTTAATAATACTTAGATTAAGCATGATCATAATTTACTTATTCTAGATTTTAAAAGTATGAATTTTTTCAAATAGTTGTTTCGCTAAAAAATTATTTCAGTAGGTTGCGTATAAACATAATTATTTTTATAGATTTATATTTTCGAACTGATAACAAATATTATTTGAGAAAAGAAGTTTGTAAAATTTGAGCTTTGCATGCTTTTTTAATATTTTTTTCTTAAATGACCGAAGTTTACATGGTGACCGAACTTCGGCAATGTTACGATATAAGATGAATTATAAAGTACAACATAAAGTTTTAAAAAATTGAAAATTTGTTTATACAGAACAATATATAAATTAAATTATAAGCATGTAAAAAAACAAGGCAACTTTAAAAAAAAATTGAATGAAAATTCCAGTATTAGTATAGGTGATTCAGATAACAAACACCGGTAAAACCAAATGTCATACAAGCATACACCGGTATTAAGGGTAGTACCGGCATATGCTTGTATAATACCAGTATAGAAACCAGTAATACATGCCGTTATTGGATCCATTATATAAAGCATTTGTTTACATAATATTGATCGCTGTTAAACAAGCAAGAGATATTTGTAGATTATTATAGAAAAAACAACGGAAATCAAATTAATTTTTTGACAAAGGAAATGATTTAATAGTTTTATTGTAAAAACTTTTAATTTAATTATTGCCTATCTTTTTAATACAGTTGAGAAATAAATAACTAATGTTTTTATTTAGACTGGAGCTTTGGAAGGTCAAACATTTCGAAAAACAGGAGTTCTTCCTGATTTGAGTGAGCAAAATTTAGTTGATTGTACGCAATCTTACGGAAATGAGGCTTGTAATGGTGGTTGGATGGATAATGCGTTTAAATATATAAGCGATAATAAAGGCATTGACAGCGAAGCAGGATATCCGTATTATGCTAAGGTTTTTCTTTTCCATATATATTTGTATATTCCTATATATATATATATATATATATATATATATATATATATATATATATATATATATATATATATATATATATATATATATATATATATATATATATATATATATATATATATATATATATATATATATATATACATGTATATATATATATACAAATATATATATATACATATATATATATATATATATATATATATATATATATAATATATATATATATATATATATATATGTATATATATATATATATATGTATATATATACATATATATATATATATATATATATATATATATATATATATATATATATATATATATATACATATATATATACATATATATATATATACATATATATATATATATATATATATATATATATATATATATATATATATATATACATATATATATACATATATATATATATATATATATATATATATATATATATATATATATATATATATATATATACATATATATGTATATGTATATGTATATATATATATATATATATATATATATATATATATATATATATATATATATATATATATATATATATATATATAATATATATATATATATATATATATATATATATATATATACATTTAAGAAAAAAACGCAGTTAACCGTGGTTTTCGGTTTTTCTTGTTAAATAATGGTACTTATGTAAGTTTATTTTGCATTGTTTGTTAAATAAGTTATTTAAACAAAGTGTTTTAACATTATGTTTATTTTTCGAAATAAAATTTCAGCTCGAAAAAATGCGTTTGACATCTGTTGATGTGGGTTAATTGAAAGAATAACATTGTAAATTTAAAAAAAATTTTTTTTTTTTTCCCGTACGTTTAATTCATCCTAAAGAGAAACTAGATGTTTCAGCTAGTAGTTATCAGAAGTAAATTTAAAAGACCTAAATACAAGTTTTCCAGCATAATTAAATTTTTTTTTTAATCGAACAACTGAAGGATCTATTACACACCTTAACAACTGCATAACATTTCCGTTAATTCTTTTATCAACGTGCTTTTTTTTAATTTGAATGCAATAAAGATGCTATTTCTGTATTCATAGCAAATAGTTTTCCAAGCATGAATTCAAGAGCATTATCTGCTTTCGTTGCATCTTCTCTGCTAAGAAATTTCACTGCTTGTTTCGCTGACTCTAAAGCAGCATGTAATGAAGCTAATGGCTCCAAATCTAACTTGTTGATTGTTTTTTATCGAGAGCATTTAATTTAAAAAACATCCTGGATAAACATTTTTTAGTTTTTAAGGCGCAGCTATGAAAAAAGTGAATTTTAACGATGACGATTATCTAGAAGCAGTTCAATTTCTTAGCCAAACTCCTCAGTAACTTTTTTTGAAAAATTTGGTTACAAACTGATCACATTTTTATAAATTTTGCTACTTTTCGTGCATTCATTAAATTTTTAGCGTAGTCAACATTAATCTTATTGTTTACTGATTCAAAACTAAAATTATCATCGTTAATTTTATGTTCAACCTCTTCTGAATTACTGTCCATTTCCTTGGGAATTGGTACGTTTGTATCTTTATTTTTTTTTGCACAACGTGTTGCATATACCAAGATGGACTCCATGAATAAAGCAAAACTGGTCAACAATGTCCGTTAAATGCATGAGCATCTTGTTGATTGCTGTACCATCTTGAGTTGAACCTACTATATATCTATCCATACAGACACCAAACGAATTCCAATGATACTTATTTTGAAATAAACTTTCAGTTGGACAGGAACCATAAATCTTAATGAGACTAGTATATAGATTTTCTTACATTTGCTTTCATGCAGGTTGACACCAATGTACCTTGTGTGCCTTAAAAATGTGTATTATTTATGAATTTAGCTGAATTTATATCCTATTTAAAATGTTTCTGCAATTTTTTGTTTTATCACTTTTTAAGGCTTTTAAGAAGATGAATTCTTGTTTGTTGAATTGATGAGCGAATAAAATTGTTGATAGTGATTGTATTAATTGAAACACCATCTGCAGCTACAATTTATTTAAGGCTCGTTTTTCGGAAACAATTTTTTTTTCCGCTGGTGGATTTGAGTTACTGCTTGATTCTCTAGTTGATTCAAAATATGATTCCACAAAGCAGTTGTGGATCCACGGAGAATATTACAACATAAAAGTATCTATTACAGATGCCTTCAGCATTTCTTGAATTTGGAATTTTACGCCAGGTAGCAAATTTCTGATGACATGATTTTAATATGTTTAAAAAATAAAATTTAGAGTTTAGACTTTATATTCAACTATATTTGCGCGTTTTATTCGTTATTCAAACTCATTTTTAGAATACTTTAATAACTTTGAAAATGAAAAGATGTGTTAAGCTTTCCACCAAAATACAATCTAAATAATAACATGAAAATTTAATTACTTTTAAAATTATTTTTTTATAATTTTCTATATTGAACAACCATTCAAAAGACATTAAACAAAAAAAATCGCCAAAGTCATTTTTAAAAACCAACGGTTTTCATTTATAAAGGTTTTGACAAAATGTTGGCATTTACATTAGTTAAAATATTGACATTTATTTCGATTTTGCATGCCAACTGAAAAATATATATGCAAATAAATATATATTTTGATAGTTGTTTTGTATTATAATAATAAATTAAAAGCCTAATGATATTAAAAAAAAACAATTTTAAAAGTGTGCTCAACATTAAAAAAATAACTTAAAAATTAATTTAAATAAAGTGAGAATCCTCAGCGATTAAATGCAAAAACAAAAACACGCTTTAATAAATAGAATAATAAAAGTAAATAAAAAGCTGCTTTAATAGAAAAGAATAAATTAAGTAGATCGCGCATAAATTTGTGATTTAGTTGGAATATTTATCTAGTTTTAATTGTGTTAGTCTTACAATAAAGATAAATTTGGATTGTGTAGAGACAGGATTAAAAATAGGGGATGCAAACACGATATCCTAGTAGGCAAAAAATTAGTTAATTAACCTTAGTCGGCTTTTCAAAATCCTTTTAAAAATGATACTTTATACAATATTTTTAAGCTTATGTTTTCGCCATCAGTAATACAAAATGGTGTAAAACCGTTCCAATTACAGAATGTTGATAAGTACCTAACAGCATTCTATAGACACTTTAGTAGCTGGTCAGTAACTAACAGCATTCACTTTAGTAAGTAAAATTGTGAAGAAATTAAATAATAGAGCGGTAAAAACAAATGATTGAATTACACTTAAACCCGGTTTAAAGTAAAATATAATCAGATATAGTGCGGTTACATTATCCGTTACTGGTTTTATATATTGGTTCATACAGCTTTTTTATCTGTTATCTTAACAATTTAATAAAGTGCAGCTTTATTTTGTTAGATGTTACAATGAATATAAATATAAATAAAAAAAGAAAGAGAGCAAAATTGATAAGATGTACATATCATATATAAGTTTTCTTTTTGTCATCGCCTAGAATGGTAATACCATTCTAAATTATGACAAAAATAATTTTTTTAAATAAGATGAATCTGCTTGAACCTAATTAATCTGTATCGGTTTGATTATTATCAATTATAAATACCGTTGTAGAAACGTCAACTGGCCAATATTTAGATAAAAATACTAGAGCAAAAAAATCAAGCTTTATGATTATCTAAAAAAAATGCTAAGCTTTCAATTCTTAGTATCTTTGTGTTTTACAAAAAGTATCATATACAAAATTAAAATGAATTTAAAGACTTTAACATAATTGATGCACTTATGTTTCAAAACAGTTCAACTGAGATTTTTTACAGTATTAATGTTGACAACCTAGATAATTTAGTTCAACAATTAGGAACTGATCATAAATCAGATATTAAAAGAGTTCATAGAAAAAAGGGTTTGCCAAAATAACATTGATTCTAATTCATATTCTCAGAGGATATTTAGTTTCCGCATCTGTAATTAGTGATTATGATGGAAATTGTTCTGAGTTTTTGGTTTTGATTTATTGTTGCAAAAGCATTTCTAATTTGTTAGAAACTTTTAAATTATCAGAAATACACAAGAAACTTTTGCAAACTATAAACAAAAACTAAAGATTAATGTTAGCAGCACCCATAGGTGCATCATCCAAGGCTTTTGAACATAAAAATCTGCGAGGTCAAAAATTTATTGTTTTTTTAGAGTGTTTTTATTATAACCTATTAAACACAACCTATTAATTTTTATACATAATTATTTTCAAATGCTATTGCTATAAAACTGCAAAAGTCAAGGCCTTTATGGCTTCCGCAGCGCTGGGCGCCGTGTCATCAAATGAACGGAAAGCAGATTAAAGTTGATCATAAATTATTTCAGATCCACAATGCTTGTAGATGATTGAAAATAAAACTTGCTTCTTAATGCTAACAAAGATTTAATTAACATTGTTTGATTTAAAAAGGGTTATTGAAAATGGGGGTCATTGAAACAACGTAAAATCAATTTTTAACTTAGTTAAGTATCAAGTCTCTTTTATTAAATTAAGAATCAATCTTCTGGATCTGCTTGAATAATTTTTAAGTTCTCAATTTTGTCCTTACTAATTTAACATTCATATGACATAGTATACTATTGAATTAGAACCTTTATTTTGATCTTTTATGTCATTTTTGTATCAAAGTATCACCCCCACCCCCCCACCCCTAAAAAAAAAAAAAAAAAAAAATACCCTAGTTGTTTTTTAAACAAGAGAATAAAACAACGTTGTTGATGCCATAGATAAGAAATATTTACCCTATATAGATACAATATATCTTATTTATTAGTAAAATAGATATATTGTCAATAGTTAATATAAATTTTTTGATGGTTTATTCATTTTACCATCAATCCTCAATCAAACATAGATTGTACTTGCAAATATCCAAAAAACCTGACATTTAATCTGCTGAGTTTGGCAGAAAGAAACTTGTCGAAAGGGTCTACATTTGCCGACTAACTTGACAAAAAGGGTTAAATTTGCCGACTAAATGAACAAAAAAATCATTGATGAGGGAGGGAGGGGTGTCACACAACCCCACACCCCCATCGTGCTGGCCTAGTATATATATATATATATATATATATATATATATATATATATATATATATATATATATATATATATATATATATATAATATATATATATATATATATATATATATATATATATATATATATATATATATATATATATATATATGTGTATATATATATATATATATATATATATATATATATATATATATATATATATATATATATATATATATATATATATATATATATATATATATATATATATATATATATATATGTATATATATATATATATATACATATATATATATATATATATATAAATATATATATATATATATATATATATATATATATATATATATATATATATATATATATATATATATATATATATATATAATATATATATATAAAATTTATTATTTTATATTTTAAAGTGTTACACCAAAGAAGACATGTTTAAAATTTTAAAGAAAATTTGAATCATCAGAAATCTTTCTGATGAGAATTTTATTGCATTGAAAATTAAACTACATGATTTTTGAATCATCAATTAAAATATTTGGGTTTGTAGTTTGTTTTTAGCATAAACACGCACACACATATTATTCTGATAATTATAATACATTTATAAATTTAACATATTTAAACTAGTGTTAAAAAGTTTGATTATTTTTCAGGCACTTGGGTATTGTTACTACAATCAGCAATTCAATGTAGCTTCTGATACAGGTTTTGTTGACATAGCCTCTGGAGACGAAGATGCGCTTAAAGTAGCTGTTGCCACAGTTGGACCAATATCTGTTGCTATAGATGCCACAAAAGATTCTTTCATGAGATATCAGTCAGGTGTGTATTACGAACCAACTTGTGGCAATGGTCTAGAGAATCTTGACCATGCTGTTTTAGTTGTTGGTTATGGTACTGAAGACGGTCGCGATTTTTGGCTTGTAAAAAACAGGTATGAAATATTAAAAAAAATATTTGTATTATTTTAGAAAAGATAAAATGTTTTAAATTTTACCTTTTCTAAAATAACTTTTATTTAATTGTGATTTTTTTTTTTTAGTTGGGACATAACCTGGGGAGATCAAGGTTATATCAAAATGTCAAGAAATATGTCAAACCAATGTGGCATTGCAACTAAAGCCAGTTACCCGTTAGTTTAAGTCTTCAAAATACTATAATCTGTTATATATATTTGCACACATTTATATAAAATAATTATTAACATTTGGAAAAAATTGAAAAAAAAACAAAAAAAGACAAACAACGTTTAAAATCAAAAACCAGCATATTTTTCTATAAAGTCACGAAACATTTAATACAAAAATTTAAAAAAAGTGTTAGAAGATTGATTCTAGAAAAAGATTCCAGAACAATTATTTATTGATCTACGCTAAATAATGCTTCTTATATTATTTTGTAATAACATTTTATGTAAAAAAAAAATGTTTAGTTACAAATATTTTTTGTATGTCATAATATAACAACATAATAAAACAAACACGATTTTAAGTAAGGACTGAGGAAATTACTAAATATAATTGTTTTGATTGTTCTTCGATCGTAATAAAAACATTTTTTTTTCGAGTTCTAACTCTTACCGACTTGCTTTTAACTATGGCCAGTTATGCTTCAACCATGGCCATTATATTCATTATATTCACCATTACATTCAAGGCCGTATACTTTACATTTTTGAAGGTAAAATGTGCCAAAATGTATATCAGGATATTTAAAAACCAACCCAAACAAGTTACATCTTTTCATTTTTTAACACACCATTACTTAAACGAACGTTAGATACGACTTGTTTATTATTCAGATTAGACTCTAACATAATTTTCTCATTATGTCAACTTCATTTTGATGAAAAATATACAATTAGAGGTGATAACAGCACCCTAAACTGGCTTTTGAAACCTGCACCTTCTAAATATTATTGCGAACTTTTGCAAAATAAATAATCATCTTTTGCAGTTTAAAAACTTCTCAAAGTCCTCCTAAAAAGAGAATATTCAAAGAAGATCGGTTAAAAATATTTAGAGACAATGATAAAATTAAAGTGTATATAATTTGAAAAAACAGTAGTAGCACCACCAGTAGTCCATCCCATTTTTATGAACAAATTTTAATGCACGGAATGTTTCAAAATGTTCCCAACGTATTGTTATTTTTATAAAAATTTATTTGGTATTGTTTTCTTTAAAAAATTTTTATTATGAATGACTTTAAACTAGCGGTAATCTTTAAAAATTTAACTTTTTTACATTTTTTGAATTTTTAAGGGCTTTTTTTTAACGATCGACGCGAATATAAATTTACAAACCTTTAATCATTAAAATTTGTAAGTATATATACGTCATTACATAGAATAAAAGGTTTTTTATGTATACCGATTGTGTGCAATTTATTATTATTAATATTATTATTATTATTATTAATGTTTTTTATTATTTTAATATTATCATTATTATATTATTTTTACTACATTATTACAATACCTATTTTAAAATCGCACAAATTTGTTATGAAATTAAATAACCTTGGTTTTTAAACAAGATAGCATTAAGGCCCAATACAAAGCAATTCAAAACTTTGTTAGATTCTTTTGATCTCAGACAGTTCACCCATTTCAAGCATTGGCTATTTAAAAGGTGTTTGTACAAGGTTAGTTAAATTTAATGACCGATCATTACTTTTTTAACCTGCCGTCATCATGTCTTCATATAACTATAGCCATAAAGAAAGCTGTAAGGCCGGAGATTAAACTATAAAAACCTCTGAACTAGAGCTAGAATGGTGTTGATACAAGAAATGAAATGATGCTGTTGCACTTTAATCACCAGAGCACATGGTTACACTTGATTAGTAAAGCAGTTCATTTTGAGTGATAGAATGGTAAAAAGATTAATAGAATGGCTGACTACATTTCTCTCTTCTAGGCATTGTGGTTTTTGACCTGCAAGTCCTCTGATTCTGCACCTTTTAAAGTATAACTTAAAGTTCTATAAATTTTGATATTAAAAAAAGTTTTTTTGTTACCCTCCCAGCTAACAAAAAACGTTTAAACACGTTCGACAAACCTTGCGGACGTTCATATGTTCTATGAACGTTCTTAAACGTTAGCAACAATCGTCGAACGTTTTGTGTTTTGAGAAAATTCCGAACGGCATTTGCAATTCATGTAGAAGCAAACTACAACGACTTGATATTGTTATTATTATTGGAAAGATACCAGACTAGTACAACTTCAATTCAATTATCATTAAGCCATCTACAAGGTATTTTGGTGCTTTTCAGTGTATAATTTGTAGGCTTTTCAGTTTATAATTTGCCAAATTAAAGCTCAAAGAAAATTTTTCATAGATTGATCTTGATAAATTAAATCAAAGAAAAAAGTCTACGCTGAAATCAGTTTCAACGTATGTTTCTTTAATATAGTCAGCCATATTAAAGCTTTCAGTCTCAAATCTTTATCGTCACAGCCAGTTGAAAAAAGATGGAGTATTTGTTTGTCAGTACTTGCGAAAGAACATCCACACTTTTGTACTACAGGTTCAGGGCGAAAAAATATACAGAAACTTGCTAAAGAGGACCATAAGTGTGCTAAACAAATAGCAGCTGATTTAATCTCTAAAAAAGATGCCTCTCCTGGAGCTACTGTCAAACTTAGTCAAGCAAGTGGAGGAAAATTATAAAAAGTTCTGCCAGGACATTAACCGAAGTACAACCACCAACTATTTACTGCTGAAACATTGGTCCATTTTTAAAACAGTACAAATCTTTTTAATGTTGGTGTGAAAAGACTTGCAGCAGCTCTTAATGACTCAATCGAAAAAAGAGCTGTAGAGGCAAATGTGAAGCAAAAACTTGACAACCTCTGGTAAAAATTAGCAGATTTTTTCATGATGTCAAATGTTGTAATACTGGACCAAGAAATAAAAAACCAATTTCGAAAATTTGTTCACTGCAAAAACTTAAATGCTTTAATCAACCACATTCTCTAAGTAAGAGGACTTACATCACATCATTTAATAAAACTTGGAATTGATGGAGGTGGTTCATTTTTGAAAATTACCCTCAGCGAAATTAACACATATTCCAAGCAAAGTTACACTCAAGGCTCATTGTGTCTCCATTCAAGTTCTTCTGCCCAGGATGGTGGTGTAAAATAACAGCTAATTGTTGCTGCAGCAGAAGATATTTCTGAAACATATGAAAATTTTAGGACATTCTTAGACCTCATACAACTTGAAGATGTGTCTTACATAATTTCGTGTGACATGAAAGTAGCCAACGATTTATGTGGTATCCAGTCTCGCTCTAGCAAATACCCATGTTGCTGGTGTGATGTCAAATCTAATAACCTTACAAAATCTGACCAACCAAGAATATTTAGTTCTTTATGCAACAACTACGCTGGATTTCTCTCTTCAAGTGCAAAACTTTAGTTGGCTAAGAATTTTGCAAATGTTATCCATCTTCTATTAATTAAACCCTACATGCAATTTGAGCTTATTCTTGATGTAATTCCTCAAATAAAACTTCATTTTTTCTTGGAATCTTCAATCATATTTTCAAGCAACTTCTTGTAATATTGGATCAAGCGCAAGAATGTCCGAATCTATTACACCTTCAAATGAAAGCATATTATATGGGAAAGTTCGATAGAAATGAATGTTACAAACTGTTGAAGAATGTTGACACTCTTCAGAGTCTTGCCCAAAAGCATTGTGCATTGCAAGCAATCCCTATTGTTGATTGCTTCAGAAAGCTTCAATCTGTTAAAAAAGCTTGTTTTGGAAAGATCTTAAAGACAGGATTCGTTCGAAATATTTCAGAATTTAAGCATTCTTATTTAGCTCTTGGAATTTCAGTTACTCCCAAAGCAAATGCAATTATTCATCACATTAAGGAATTTTCTGAAAAAGATGAAACTGGGCTCGGAGTTTTCAGTGAGCAAACCACTGATACAATGCATACAAAAATCAAGATTCACTGGCAAAGGTTCAAAAGACAACCTTCTCATCCTGAATGTAGTGACAAACTTCTGAGTCGTGTTATTGATCAGCAAACACATTTGAAATTAAATTTTTGTTGATTAAAAACTCTCAAGAGAAAAATCTCAATCAGAGTATTTTTTTGTGTGCGTAATGACTTATTTTTGTGTGCGTAATGACTTATTTTTGTGTGCGTAATGACTTATTTTTGTGTGCGTAATGACTTATTTTTGTGTGCGTAATGACTTATTTTTGTGTGCGTAATGACTTATTTTTGTGTGCGTAATGACTTATTTTTGTGTGCGTAATGACTTATTTTTGTGTGCGTAATGACTTATTTTTGTGTGCGTAATGACTTATTTTTGTGTGCGTAATGACTTATTTTTGTGTGCGTAATGACTTAATTTTGTGTGTGTAATGACTTATTTTTGTGTGCGTAATGACTTATTTTTGTGTGCGTAATGACTTATTTTTGTGTGCGTAATGACTTATTTTTGTGTGCCTAATGACTTATTTTTGTGTGCGTAATGACTTATTTTTGTGTGCGTAATGACTTATTTTTGTGTGCGTAATGACTTAATTTTGTGTGCGTAATGACTTATTTTTGTGTGCGTAATGACTTATTTTTGTGTGCGTAATGACTTATTTTTGTGTGCGTAATGACTTATTTTTGTGTGCGTAATGACTTATTTTTGTGTGCGTAATGACTTATTTTTGTGTGCGTAATGACTTATTTTTGTGTGCGTAATGACTTAATTTTGTGTGTGTAATGACTTATTTTTGTGTGCGTAATGACTTATTTTTGTGTGCGTAATGACTTATTTTTGTGTGCGTAATGACTTATTTTTGTGTGCCTAATGACTTATTTTTGTGTGCGTAATGACTTATTTTTGTGTGCGTAATGACTTATTTTTGTGTGCGTAATGACTTATTTTTGTGTGCGTAATGACTTATTTTTGTGTGCGTAATGACTTATTTTTGTGTGCGTAATGACTTATTTTTGTGTGCGTAATGACTTATTTTTGTGTGCGTAATGACTTATTTTTGTGTGCGTAATGACTTATTTTTGTGTGCGTAATGACTTATTTTTGTGTGCGTAATGACTTATTTTTGTGTGCGTAATGACTTATTTTTGTGTGCGTAATGACTTATTTTTGTGTGTGTAATGACTTATTTTTGTGTGCGTAATGACTTATTTTTGTGTGCGTAATGACTTATTTTTGTGTGCGTAATGACTTATTTTTGTGTGCCTAATGACTTATTTTTGTGTGCGTAATGACTTATTTTTGTGTGCGTAATGACTTATTTTTGTGTGCGTAATGACTTATTTTTGTGTGCCTAATGACTTATTCTTGTCAAAAGATCTACATTTTTAAATTTGTATTGGTTTAAGCTACTTTGTAGCTCAGTGTATATAGATATATTTAAAAGTATATGCACATCTTTTTTGAAAAAAAGAT